GAGTCAATCTCGGAGTATTTTACTCGAGTCCTCACTATAGTGAACAATATCAAGTGTAGTGGAGAAAAGATCAAAGATTTGCAGGTAATAGAAAAAATTCTTTGTTCTCTAAATTCGAAGTTTAATAATGCAGTCATAGCAATTGAGAAATCCAAAGACCTCAGTACTATGGCTATTAATGAACTATTGGCTTCTTTAAAGATCCATGAACAATGGATCAATAAAAAAACTTCATCAAAATCTCTTGATCAAACATTGTAATCAAAGCTTGCTTTTCAAGAAAATAAAGAAGATGAAGGAAATTCACAACCAAGTCGAGGAAGGGGCCGATTTCAAAGAGAACAAGGTTTTAATAATAGAGAAAGAGGAAGAAGATTTAACATCAATGGTGGACATGAAATTCAACAACAAATTTATCAAAGAGGAAGAGGTCAATACAGAGTCGAGGTAGAGGACAAAATAGAGGAAAAGAAAGACGCAAAAATGGTTTTAATCATCAAATGGGGGACAAAAGGAACGTGCAGTGTTATAACTGTCATAAGTATGGAGATTACAGCAATGAATGTCACGCAAAAATTGCTGAAGTTGAAGTTGGCAAAAATACCAACTTTGGTGATACAAGTGAGCCAAAATCACTAGTATTGATGGCTCATCATGCAATACAAGAGCAAGTAATCATATGTGTAGGAAAAAGCATGTGTTCGTGGAGCTTGATGAAACTTCGCATGGCTATGTCTCTTTTGGCGACCTCTCCAAAGTTCCAGTAAAAGGAAAATGTAACATCTTAATCAAGCTCAATAATAGTGGTTACAGTTATATTACTGATGTTTATTATGTGCCGGATATCAAGCATAATTTATTAAGTCTGAGACAGCTCCTAGAAAAGAGATATGACATTAGTTTAAAAGACTCAAGCAAAGATAATCGTGGATATCCAATATCCCAAGTACGAATGTCTGAAAGCAGAATGTTTGCTTTAAAATTCCTCATGACTCACCAAAATGTTTAAATGCCATTATAAATTATAAGAATTGGTAGTGGCACTTGAGACTTGGACATTTAAATTTTGAAGGATTAAGACTGTTGTCAAAGAAAAAGATGCTGAAGTAGTTGCCAAATATTGATCATTCAAATGAAATTTGTGAAAGCTGTGTTCTTGGCAAACATGCAAGAACAAATTTTTTAAACGACTCTAGTCTTTTTTAAACGACTCTAGTCGTTTTCTTAAATTTTGTGAAGTTGTTTAAACTTTTAACGGCATATAAGGTGACAATCAAACTTTAATATTATAAATCGTGTTTGGCTTCGACTTATTAGTTTAAATTGAAATAAGAAGATGAACTTCATTATATACCATTCATTGTGCTTCACTAACAATGGTCAAGTATACCGGATTTAGCTTCTTCTAAGTATGCGACTTACAATAATGTATAAGGACATATAAGGTGACAATCAACCTTTTAACATTGTAAATCGTGTTCTGTTTCGACTTATTAGTTTAAAATGAAATAAGAAGATTTCATTACGTGCAATTCATCGTACTTCACTAACAATGTTCAAGTATACCGGATTTAGCTTCTAAGTATGCAACTTACAATAATTTACAACTACAGTCGTGTCGTTTTCTTATAAAATGACTCCAATCATTTTTAACGACTGAAATAAACAAATATAAAAAAATTACCCCAACTTCATAAATCATAAATTTGGTATGAATTACAACAAAAACTCACAACACAGCATAAATTGCAATAAGTAGAAATCAAATGTGTTGTTATCAAAACAACATGCAATCAACTACACAGACAATATACAAATCTTCTATCGGCTAAAGGTATTTGACTTGTACATGTTAGTCGGTTGTGCCCAATTACAGCAAACATACTACATTTGTATCGGGAACCTTCTAGTAGACGCAATTCTTTTTGTTTCAGTACGTCCACCTCGTCATCGTAATCACTGCACATGCCTATTTTAAGTGATTTTAATTGGAACTGTAAACTGACCATTTCTAGAGAGGAGAAATCTCATCTTAATTTCTTGCGAAGATGAATCAACTTTGCACAGATTTAGCACTTCACAATACATATCATGATATGAAGTATTTGAAGATATTGAAACTCCTTCCACCATTTCATCATTCCCACAGTTCCACTTCGTTTCCATATCCAATTTCCTTGATCAACATTAACAAAATCACCAAAATAAAATATAGAAATCCATATTGTTGAGTCCAAATCTATAATCAGAATAGTAAAATTTTAGAATTTTAGCAAATAATCATTCACAGTAAGTCATTTTCACGATCGTTTTAAACGATTGTAATCATTTAAAATGTCAGTAATGAATCTGTAGCAAAAAAGTATACGAGATTTTTCTTTTCAAAATTACTTGAGATCGAAAAATACGTTCAAACACTAAATAAACACAAACGACAATGAATATATGTACAATAGAAAAAAAACACAAGATTCAAAAAAAAAATAATAATAATAATTGAAAGTGAAAATAATATTTTGCCAATATAAAATGTAGAAATGTAAGGGTTTCTTCTTTGATGTGTCTCTTTATACTTCTAGTAAAACTAAATTGAAAGAAAAAAGAAGAATAAAGAAGAAGTAGATGATTATAGATAAACTAAAGAGAAGAAGAGAAGAAGAAATCTGAAATTCCAAAGAAAAACAAATGAAACTAACGGTTATAATTTTGATTTGAAAAATGGGTATTATAGTCATTATGTACTTAGGGCATTTTGGATATTTCAATAATATGTGCAAGGATAATTTGGATATTTTACCCTAAGAAAGGCCTCAAAAACATTTTTATGATAAGTTAGGCCACAAAAAGTTTCCCTTCCCTTGACTAGGCCTTTTGTAAAAATACCCCGATGCCGGATCGTTGGATGAAAATGAAGCCGGGATGTTCGTTCTTCTTTTTCTGGGATGCTACCTATTAAATCACGTTCTCGTTCAATCCGAAAAATAAACTCAACATTATGGCTGCTTGATCTTCTTGCTTTAGATATGCATATAATCTAGCCAAAGTAATGGTGATTTCGACTTCGAGCTTGGACCTGTGAGTGGTTGACTGGCTTCGACCTTCGAGTGGTGGAGGTTGTTGAGGAGGGATTTTGTATGGAAAGCTGGTTTGGGGAACCGACTACTGTAGCTGTGCGATCGTTGTTGGGTAAGGTTTTTCAAAACAAATTAGTTCTTCCAGTTGATTCTTGATGCGTTTGTTTACAAATTTTCCATATCTTCATTGAAACTTCTTTTTCTTGTTCAAATTTATTTTGCCTCAAGTGTTTAGCTAAACAAAACCTCAAGCCTCTCCTATCTTGCTCTTTGTTTCTTGATATCTGTGATTTCGTTCGTTTAGGGCGTAAGTTTTTAGTGAAGGATTACAATGTTTTTGCCTGTTCAACTGCTGTGTTCGATTCTGGATTTTTCTGTACTTTATCTTATTAGGTTTAATATAGTTTAGTTGTATAATTGTTTACTTTCTTCAATAGATATGCTTTGATTTTGATTACACTTTACCAGGAAGAGTTGAATTGGATTTTATGGAAGCTTGATTTGGTGGTTGTTCTTTTATGTTGAATTTGATCGGGGCATTCAGTCAAAGTTGAAATGCTGGCAACAAAATCAAATAATATTTGACAATATTAAAGAAGAAGAAAAAAAAGTTTGATTAGTCCAGTTAGTTTTCAAGTTTCACTTATTGATTCAGTTGGAATACAGATTTTCGAATGAGTGATTCCAATTAAAGATAAAGAGTGGCTCTTTGCTTGTTTTTTTGCTTCTAATTCTTCGAAGGAGGCTGGTGAAGGAATTGCATACCAATGGAGGTACATGGTGGAAAATGAGCGTAAGTACTATGTAAATTAAGGTGTGATGGCTTGTCAATATGATTAATATGTGCTTTTACAGTAGAAATCTTGTAAAATGATTTGTTCCAGCTAGAGATCCAGGTGTGGTACTTGGTTCGTGCCCAAACAAAAATAAATTGAAGCCACTCAATTTGAGAAGTTCCTCTCTTTCTGGTGAACTACTTCCCAACGATTCCAGTTCAAAATGAGGTTTGCAAAGATCATTCTTCTCTACTTGCTAATATAGTCGGAACCTGTTACGAATCAGTAGGAAATGTGAAGCCCAATTTCATAGCAGTGAACTTTTATATGGTATAAACATATCTTCTAAATGGAACTAATGGTTGCATTTCATAGAGCATAATGTTACTTTTAAATTGTGCAGAGAAGTGATGATGAAGGTGTTTTTATATCATGGATAGAATGAGTGGCCAATTATTATGTGGATGTACACCTGTCACTTTATGCCAAGTTCGTCCTATGTTTTTCTTATAAGTGTAACATAGTAAAAGATAATCTTACAAAGCAATCAAATTTATTGATAATAAATTATCCAAAGCTACAGAAAAAAGTAGAAATGCATCATGTAGTTAAGAAATGGCATCCGATAAACTTATTTACCGATCTTGTCATTTCATGAAAAAATTTGTATTCTTTTTGGTAAATTGGGTGATTACAGTTTAATATGTTTTAATGTTATGAAAATGAACAAAACTTCTAGAATGGTGATGCCTACTAAATGGATTCATCAGCATCATTTTGGTGAGTGAAAAAGACCATGCATTTATCGTACCGTGTAGTGAATTTAAGGATATTTTCTCACGTATTCAAGTTTGGGAATGATCAAATCAATGATTTTTGTTTTTCAACATTGGAAGTGATGGATAGTTGGCTGATCAAACTGTTTTTTGATAATATAGGAGCTGAAGAAGATTTGGACAAATTTGTGAGGGTGAAGATGGTGGTATGGTTTTTGTCCAAATATATGAAGAGTTACAGTGTTATCGTGCTTACAACTAACAATAACTATTTAAATTAACTCCTTTTCAGTCTCGTCTTTTCAGAATTCTAATTTTTTTCATTAAATATAAGTTTTTGTTCTCTAACATAATTTTCCATTTCTTTTCTTACAAATGCAGAACTGGCAAGCTATTTTCTCTAAATTCTCATTGCGATGTAAGGTAAATGTTTAGGTAAATTCTTATTTTGTTGAATATTGAATCTAAATTCTTTTCTCGATAATACACGAAAAGTAAAATAGGAGATTCATTATGTTAAGGTATAGGTTCTAAGGTGAAAATATACCCTCTTTTCTGGGTAAATGTGATTTTCCCAGGCTTCTGTTAGAATTAGATCAATGTTAAAAAAAAAAAAAGATTACTTATTAA